CCTCACACTCCTGGCTCAGCCCCCAGACCCACTGAAGCTCCTTGGGGTACAGAAGACCCAGAGGGTTCCACAAGGAGCCAGAAAAGCAGCAGGTACCCCATGGAGCTGGGATGCCTCCATGCCATGCCTTGCCCAGAACAGCACTTGCACCTGAAGCTGGGGTGAACAGAGGCTTTGCACAAAGCCCTGCAGGAGGCAAAAGTCAGTTTGAAGATTCCCATCCTCTACTCCTTCAAAACTGACCCGATCAACCTATGTTTCAATGGCACATTCAGGGTTGCTCAGCTCAGCAGATCCTGAACGGCACCTTCTTCACAGCGCTCACCCTCATTATTTCCCCACCAGATGTCTAATAAAACAAACCCCAACATCCTGACTTTAAGTGCTGGGGGGAGCCCATAGCTGTCACCAGTGCTTTGCCTTCAGCCTCCAACCCACTGGTCTGAGTGGCCTTGGGTGAAGGCTGAGGTGATGTTTTCACTGAAGACACATTCACTAACCAGACGGGACTGCTCACCTGGCTCTATCTAGTATGCAACTATTTACAGTGTCACAGCTCCCTGTGTTACTGGCTTGTGGTTTACGGTACAAATGCAATTCTGCAATCAGATGGCTGAAGCTTTGCGGCATTTTAATGCCTCTTTGATGCCAGTTATTTATCCACCTCTGAACATTTTGTCTTCTCCCCATGGCACAGTCACACTTGAGCTTCCCTGATGTCCCAGCTCATTCAAGTCAAGTCTGGTTTAGTTTCATTTAGTTTGCTGAGCTGAGTGCCAGGTTAAGCTCTGACAGCACTGGAAACGGAATGAGAGCCAGCAACAGGCAAGAACATGGCTGGGCTGCTGCCAGGGAACCAGCTTGAGGCACAGGAGCATCATAGGGACTGTGCCAGGAGCTGCTCTGCCTTTGCCAACCTGCTGCACTGGGACAGGGTGAGGGCTGCGGCAGGTCAGTGCTCCTCATCCCCAGTGGCTGTCTGGGACTTGTGGAAGCCTTCTCTGTAGGTTTCCCAGAGGAGGGAAGAGCTCCGACCCTTTCCACGCAGACTTGAACAACTTACACCGAGGTGCTCAGAACCAGCAGCGTGCAGGAATGTCACCCCTTTCAGAGCTTTAAGCCCTCTTGCTTTTGTCCTCCACATGCCCACCCAGACTGCTTCCTACATTATGACATTTTTGGGTGAAGTCCAGTTGAAGGAAGGAGAGAGAACTCACATGGGGATGGGCCATAAGGAATTTAAGACAGTGTGTTGAAGGCACTGCTGTGATGAAGGTCCCTGTTGCCACCACGCTGAGTGGCCGCACTCATCATCCCCACTGTGTTGCAGCACTGAGACCCTGTGGGAAGGCATCGCCATCCGGCAGGCTGGTCCATGCTGCATCACACAGGGGCTGCAGCACTTTCGGCCATGCTGATCTCTCCTGCCTCCCTCTTAAACAGAAATTCATCCTTTATGGCAAAGCGTGGACCACTTCACATCCACATCCTCTGAACTTTGGCGGGCTGCAGCACTGCAGTGCTCCACAGCGGGGCTCATGCGGAGACAAGCTTGCCTGTAAGTTAGACTCTTGTATATGGGTTTTTAATAAAGGCTTTCAAGGTGGAGAAGAGTTTGATTAGCACCTTTCTCCCCCTTGGAGTGGGTTCTTTGATAGCTCATGAGCAGAAGATTAAATGGAATTATTAAAGCAGTGACACCAGGCAGAGAGATTCCAGAAAATGACGTCTTCCACTTTGATGTCAAAATACCTGAAAAAAGTGAACTGGAGAGAATCGAAACACCAACCAGCCTTGAAGGAGGAAGGGGGCAATGAGAGGGATGTGAAATGGTTTCATGTAAGGCAATGTCACTGCCTCCTCCTGACCAAAACTTGAGTCCAGTTTGCTGCAAGTGCCATTTTGAGATCTGAAGCTTCTTCTTCCCAAAGGAGTAATGGAAAAGTTGGATGCAAACAGGGCAATGCATTACAAGCGCTCTGTCCCAAGGGGATATGTTGCTTCATTCCATATAATTGCCTGTAAAGATTCATAATTAATGTCAACCACCATGAGTAGATACTTAGCAGATTATTTATAGGCCACGCCACCTTCAGCCAGCACTCTCCCATCCCCATGCCATCCTTCTAATGCCTTTCCAAATGATGGAAGCAGAGATGCTGCTGCTGCTTCCCTCCAAAGTCAGTCAAAAGTGTAATAGCTTCCTGGTTTGCAAAGTGCTCCTGCTGCTTTCCCTCTCCTCCTCTGCTCAAATTCCTCCCACAGCACACAAGACAGACTCAGTTGACCCTTTCTCTTAGCGCTCTCCTGTATTCATGGAATACAGACCCTAGGTTTGGATACCTTGGATTCTTTGAAGCCTTGCTCACAAACCAGTCCCTCTGGACTCTGAAATTGGTTTTCTTCCCCTTTCGTCTCTCCCCCCCATCTTTACCTTTCAGGATAATCGCAGTGGCCCTTTCCCAGGTTCCATTCAGGGGATGGAAGAGGCTGCTAAGGGGCAAAATGCCCAAGCAGGCCTGGCAGCCCATCACACCACATGTGAACATCTCAAGCAGGGAGACCTCCTATGCGCCACCTCTCTTGCTGCCTGCTCATGGGAGAATAAGCAGCCAAAAGGCATGTGGAGAAGAGACTGGTCACCAGTATCACTGCAGCACCCACCTTCAGATTGCCCCACAAACTCCCTGCCTGAGAACCCAGTGGATGGTCAGGCACCTCACTGAGAAAATACTGGAGGAGGGGAATGACAAAGTGTTTGCTCATGGGGTGCTCTTGGCCCAAAAGTAGAGAGGAGGAGGAGGAAGAAAGTCAGTTTAAAAGCAGCTACTCAAAACCCTCTCAATTAGATGTGAAGAAAAGAGGACCACGACTTGGGCTGCTGGGCAAGCCCATATTCACCAGCACCCAGGCGATGAGAAGACAGGTCTTTGCTTTGGGCAGTACTCATGTTTTGTGAATCCTGCAGAGGTAACTATTCAGACTAATATTTAGAAGTGTTTGGAAACTGTTTGGAAACCACTGGGAAGAGCTTTCATTGGGTTTCAGAGTACCATAAAAATATGGTGAATGAGCTGAATACAAATACCCAAAACAACAACCACAGTGAAGAACATAGATCTGGAAATCCTTCCTAAGCTGTGTGCTGGATCTCTGCAAATAGCAGCAACAGAAACCAGTGAAAAAAAAGGGGGAAAACCTGCACATTTTCTGTCTTTGAAACCAGATTCACTGTGCAGAGAAGGATCCCTGGGAAGGGAACTCTAACAGGAAATATGAATCCTGCTCTGCTGCTCAGTCCCTCCTTCCAGCTTTCTCTGTGCCTCACTAAATCCAAGCCTTCCAGTTACAAAGCTCAGGCTGTTGTAAATGTCAAGAACTTACTGCACAAGGCTGATCATTATCGTCAGTATTCTCTTCCAGAGCATTAACAGGGCCCAGAAAAACTCACAGAAGTGGATTACCCAAAGCAACTGGACCTGACATGGCTTTTACTGAACTGTAATTAAAGCAAGTAGCTTCCTGAGTATTTCTCTACATGCTTTTCCCTTCCCCTGTTGCTGGCTCCCCTTAGGACTGCATCTTCAGACCAAGAGCCAGGAGCTCCTGGTACATGGTGACCCTCCTGGGCTCCTCTGGTGGAGGAGGGAGACAGATACGAGAATGGATTTTCCTTTGACACACACTGGCTGCAAACTAAGGTCCCAGCCTGCCACAGCACTGCCCGGGCAGGGCCGAGCTATCTTGCCTGAAGCGATTTTGCTGCCACTGCCAAGCTGATGCTGTCAATACTTGTATTTCCATGAGCCCTCATTATCCTGTCCTCCCCACTGCAGCTTGCACAAAGATCAGTATTTATTAGAGAGAGAAATATTTACAGCGTTCCTTCCCCTCCTGGCACTCTACAAATGGACACACATAAGCTTTGGTGTCTTGCAAAGAAATAACACTCACAAACATTTGCCTGTCACTGGCCACAAGAACACGTGCCAGTGGGGCTAGCAAGGAACTGAATAGAACAACGACATGCTGAGACAAAGACAAGACAGCAGCGCTAGCTGGCCGTGGAGTGCTGGTTAA